CTTTCATTTAATTGGTCTGCAAGGCTTGTTGTTGGGCAGCCAAAGAACATATGCCATAATATATTGGCATAGTATATGTGCTGATCCAAGCATTGTGGTCTTTTGCAATTGACAGGTGGAAATTTTGTCAATGCACATTTTCTAAATGCCATTCAAGATTTTTGCTATGGCACCTAGCCTCCAATAGCCAGTGGGGCCACCATTTATGGTTTATCCTATAATCTTTCAATTTTGATTTTTAGATCTTTATACTTTGTATTCTTCTCCAGTTCTTTGTTTTCTATTATCCTCTGGTATTGCTACACACTTTATTCTTTTCAACCTCAGCTAAATCTGGTGTGTTATGAGCCAAAACTTTATCAGTTTGTATTTGGTATTCCCACAATATTTTAACCTCCTCATTTTTTTTACTCTATTTCCAAATCTGTATTCCCAGCAATTTATCAATACTCACCCATGATAACTTTACAGATGTTCCAGTGAATCAGATTGGTGACTATGTTATGTTGAATTATCCCAGCTGTCTGAATCTCTCACATTCTCTCTGTCTCTGTCTTTCTCTCTGTCTCTGTCTCACACATGCAGGGACACACACACACACACACACACACACACACACATCCAGACTCTGAAAGAACATCGTTTGTAAGAAACTAGTCTCAGCTTGTGATCTGTCCATAGTCTTACTCTTTTTTAAACAAATATTTTTCTTCCCACCAGTTTTTCTGTTGTAATATAATGGGATCTAGGCAGTTCTGCAGTTACCTTTTTTCACTACCAATGGTGTCAGCCTTGCAAAACAGGGGGCTTACTAGATGATCTAATTTAATTTTATTGCAAGGTATTAATAGAATCTTGCAAGTCTGAAAATACATCCCCCCTCATTGTCTTTACAGCCCAAGCAACTAGGGAGGATCCCTTCTGAGATGTTTGCCACAATCACATTCCTTCTGCAGGGTAAATTACCTCTAATATGACCATTCCCCTGACTGTGGCCCTTCCCCTGTCTCCTAAGGTCATATCCACATACCATTACACCATCATTTTATTGCCTGGCCTGGTACTGGGTTGGGTGTGGATTGGAAGGTGGGGTACCCTCTGAAATATGCCACTGGAATTTTGAATGTGGCGACAACTAGGACTCCAGGGTAAGAGTGGTTGTGTAGCTGTTGTCTTCCATAAACCTCTGCTGGACATTAGTGATCCTGCCCCAGACATAATCAAGTACTGTATGTGCTAAATACGATGGGCTCTGCCCAAGAGTGTCAATCTAACAAAGCGTGCATTCAGATTGGTTCCAGTGCGGCTGGCATTCTGGCAGGAGAGCTGCCGTCTTCCCATTGGTTGTTAACTTGACAGCTCTCATATAAATAGAGCTGTCAGGCTGTTTCGTGTTGGTTCTGTTAGTGAAGTTAATAACCGTTACTGCATTTACTCTGTCTCCTCAGATGCCTCATCACGAAACTTAACACTATGAGATCTTTTTTGTGAGGTTGGTCCAAAGGGATCAGTGGGAATTACTATTCACTTACCTTATTTCCTGCAATGTAGCAACATCCCTGCCCACTTTCTTGGATTCTAAATCTGGGCTAGCAATGGAGTTCCCAATATGTATGGTTCTGGGGAAACCTCTTGAGGAAGTAGACTGGGCCGAGTGTGAGCTCGGCCACCTACATTCTGGGAACCATGCCTCTTCTGGTTGGTTAAGGCCTCCAAAGAGGTGGCATGTGGTTTGATCCAATGCCTCTTTGCAGAAGAGCGTAGCACCTCCTGCCCTGAAGGATGCAGTGGTGCATCCCCCTTTTCAAGAGGCTCTCCTTTGACTCAATAGTATTAGGCAACGTTCATGCAAAGTCCACTCTTCTCTTTTTAGGAAAGATTGTTGAGAAAGTGGTTGGTGCCCAGTTGCAAAGAACCCTGGATGGAACTGATTACCAGAACTCTTTTAGGTCTTGGTTCAGATCAGAGGTGGTATGCTGCCGGTACACACCAGTCCCACCCAGATGTCATCAAGGACCTTCTGCACATGCCCAGACATGCCGTGCATGAGCAAAGCAAGTGCGTGGGTGCCAGCGCTCCTGCTACCGAACCAGTAGTGAAGAAAATAGAATACCATTACTGGTTCAGATCAAAGCACAGCATTGAAATGGCATTGATTGCACTTGTTGATGACACTTGGAGGGCTTGGGATGGGGTGATGAAACCATTCTGGCCTTCCTGGTCCTCTCAGAGGGTTTTGATACCACTGACCTTGGTATCCTTTGAGACCAGCCTCAGGGGTTTGGAGTGGGAGACACTGGGATACGATGGTTCTCCTCCTACTTCTGTGATTGTTCCAGTTGGTGTTGGTGTTGGTATGGAAAGAGAGGTTGAACTCCAGGACCCTACAGTGTGTCATGCTCCAGGGCTTGAACCTTTTGCCTTTAAAAAAAAACTACCCCTGGAGGAGGTCATCCATCAGTATGAGGCCTAGTATCATCACTATGTGAGTAACACCTAATTATATTTAACATGACATGAAAGAAGGAACATGAAAGACCACAACTGGATGTCCCCCTGGGCAATGGTGATACTGTTCAATCCTTTAAACCCAGAAGTGCTCCTGACATGACTGTAGTAGTACCTAATAACACATCCCTTGCACCTATCCAGACAGGTGATGCTGTGGCAGTGCTGGTTTTGACTCAACCCTGACAAGATGGAGTGGATCTAAGTTTTGCCCACACCCCAGGCCCAAATGATGTTTTATTTTTTGAGTCTAGGAGGAGAGGCACTCTCCCAGACCGAGTTGGTGCACAAATTCAAGGTCCTTCTATATTCATGGCTCTTGGTTGAGGAGCAGGTGATAGCTGTGCCTGGGGGTGGGGTGGGAGGGCTTTCCATAGATTCATCTGATGCACCAATTGCTCCCTTTCCTGGACTGAGAAGCCTGGCTCATGGTCACTCATGTCTTGGTAGTTCCCATTTGGATTATTGCAATGTGTTCTACATGGGTCTGCCCTTCAAGACCACTCAGAAGCTACAAGTGGTAAAGAATGCCGCGGCATGCGCAGTGATGGGTGTCTCTAGGTTATACATTTAATATTTCTGTTGCATGAGCTGCCCTGGCTTCCAGTTTCTTCTGGGGCAATTTAAGGTGATGGTTATTACCTTTAAGACCTCACAGGGCACAGCCCCAGGTTATCTATGGAACCGCTTTTCTCTAAAGACATCTACTGGTCCACATTAAATAGATGGGCCTGCTTCTAGTTCCTTCCTTTAAAGATTGCCATCTTACAGGAAGGAGCTAGGAAGCATCACTCTTCCATGACTTAGGACTTAGGACTTAATCTTCGTAAATGTCAACGTCCATAAGGCATTGCATTGTGAAGGCCAGGGGCAGGACGTCATGGATTACAGCACGCCATTGCTTCCAATTTAGGGCGGCTTGTTGGGCATCGGTTATTGAAAAATGGAGTGGTTGAAGATCGTGAGCCACTTGGGATATCCACGTTTTCTTTGGGGCATTTCGTGCGATTTTCCACCCATCCGGTCGCAGCGAGTTACTCGATCGGTAAGGTAATCGGCTATTGTCCATATGGCAAACGTGTCCAAACCATCTAAGTCGTTGTCTTCTTAGGTAAAGTTCGATTGTAGTTTGGTTTTTACACAGCTGCAATACCCTGCCCTATAGAAAACATCTCACCCCAAAGGTTTGGCAGACCTCAAACCTTCTTACTTTTAAAAAGCACTGAAGATCTGGCTTTTCCAAGCCCTAGCACCTGTCACCAGGTTTTTCATTTTTAATGTTTATGGTTTTAATAGTTTTCAAATGGTTTCTATGTTGTTTTAATTCTTGATTGGGAGCCATTCAGAGTTCTGTATAAGATGGGCAGCTGAATAATGTTTTGAATAAATAAATAAAATGTTCCTCGCTTATAGAAATAATTATTTGAATATTAGCTTATTTATGTTAGTTCCATTTCAAGCTTACCAGTTCTTCACATTTTTTAACGTCGTTTTTTAACTATCTTGGGATTGGAGACAAAGGCAAATAGGTCAAGTTCATGTATTGCTTTAATTTATTGGAACTTAGTTTAAGGTGATGTGTGAACTCAGCCAATTGCGGCTTATTTAATCAATTATAGTATCAAATATAGTAAATTATGGTTTAACCTAACATGAGAATTCAGAAAATTACATTGCATCTTACAAAGAAATGCATTTTTGTCCGAGGCTGCAGCTTGCAGTCCTTTAGAAGGCTGTTGAATATATTGTTTTAGAGAAAGAATTTAAATCTTGCAATACTGGCCAGAATCATACAAATACAGTACCAATGACAACAAATGTACAGTAGACCAGTGTTTCTCAACCTTGGCAATTTGAAGATGTCTGGACTTCAACTCCCAGAATACCCCAGCCAGCGAATGCTGGCTGGGGAATTCTGGGAGTTGAAGTCCGGACATCTTCAAGTTGCCAAGGTTGAGAAACACTGCAGTAGACTATGATCCAAGTTCACAATGGGTCATATTCAATGGTGTCCTTCCACAATTAGAAAGTCCACTAATGTACTGATGAATCAAATTTATTTGTACATCTACTTTAGATGCCTGGAGACTTTCTGGAGATTTGACATCCAGGGGATTAACCTCTTGTTGTACAAGGCCAAAAACTAGCAGTCAGTATATTCAGGGAGACAGCTGAGCACACAAGAAAATACTGTAATTATGGAGCTGCCTTGTATTGAATTAACTTTGTCCATGGAACCTTGTATGATCTACAGGATCCTGACCAGCAGCAGCTTTCCATAATCTCCAACAGAAATCTTTCCACTTGGGTTCTGGAAAATACAATAAGAGAGACTAAGCACTGTGCTCAGCTCCACATCGGTCAATTTATTTAGTAGCAAGTAGTGGAGGAACCATGTCAGGAAACAGAATGTGTGAAGTTATTTGAGGTATTTATTTTTTTAGCAACTGATTATTATCAATTTTGCTGATAAAAGAGAACATCCTTTCTCATGCAAGACTTGGAGGACTTTGATCGTCTCTACTTGGTGAGATGACCAAAAGGCCTCCGAGTCTTGCATGAGGTGCTCTATTAAGTGAACCCAATAAATAGTTTGGGAGAAAAATAAAAAAAATACAACCTGACAATGGGCTGAGATGATGTGCTTTCAACCTACTTTGTTGGCATACAATTGTATGCTTTTTGTCAAAGAGAGACAGAGAAAAATAATTATGACAGAGCATATGTGATACAGAGATCCACACATCCATCAACTCTGTGTCATGATATAAAGGGGAAAGACAGAATATGAACTGGCTGAATGCCAGTCTTATTGGGCAATTCATTTCCCCATCCTCTCTCCATCACGTCTAGTATAGTCAGAAAAGTAGAATTAAGATACATTCCCTGCTAGATTTACTCTAACACAAGTACAGCAAAAGACTTAAGCCTGTCTCCCTTAGGAACTGGGGCAAGAATAAGACATTGTCAAGAGGGTACAGCTATTACCGGAACATGTTCGTGCTAAGATTAGATGTAAGTAAGGACAAGAGAGAGAAAATATGAGGTAAAAGAAAGATATCCAAATTGTCCAAACATAATTCAAGAATTCTGTTATTCTCTTCAAGTTATCAGGAAACATTCACTCCCTAGAATAAAACTTATCAAGATTCCTACTCAATAAAGTGCTGCTTTTGGAGAAATCGTTATCTTCCTGTTTCTTTACCGTAAATGGAGGTAGGACAGATATTTGATCCCAAGTCACAGTCACCATCATCCACTGCATCATACACATTGTTATAATGTGAAGCTTGGTTAGGTTTTGCTATCTCAAAGGGCTCTATCCTCTGTGGCCTCTCACAGTGGGTGCCAGCCCACTTTGGATAGCATTGACACTGAAAGTGATCTTGCATTGATACATTTTGGTCTTGAAAATCTGTTATCCCAAAGTCCCCTTCCCGTAGCTGATGGTCCAAATGGAGAAAGGCTCCTAATTCACTGGGGTCGCATCTCACACAACGTCCATTCCCATGGCATAGCTGGCGACTACATCTGTTTGCTGCTGCAGTCACATTAGCGATGTAAGGTCCCAGTGTGGTAGTGATATAATGGTGAAGACTCTTGCAGCTCTCCTGGAGAACATAAGATCAGAATTAGGATTTTGAAGAACTCAAGAAGCCCCAGGGTGGATCAGGCCAAGAAAATCATCCATTCCAGCATTCTGTTACTAGAGGGACAAATCAGGGACTTCTACTCATAAGCAGAACATAACAATAGCACTTAAGACTTATCTACTGATTTACAGTGCTTTGGAGCTCTTTCTAAGTGGTTTACACAGTCAGCATATTGCCTCCAACAATTTGGGTCCTTATTTTACCTATCTCGGAAGGATGGAAGGCTGAGTCAACCTTGAGCCTGGTGAGATCTGAATTGCCAAATTGCAGGCAGTTAGCAGAAGTAGCCTGCAGTACTGCACTCTAATCCCTGCACCACATTAGCATTTTCCATGCCTGGCTCTCAGCAATTAGCATGGACAGGTACACTGCCATCATTACTGGAAGGCAGTACACAGATGAATACTGTTTGATAAGTCTTTTCTTCCATGAATTTGATTTAAAAACATCCAGCTCGGCAGGCAACATTATATATTGCAGTAGAAAATTCCATAATTTGATTTATATAATATAAAATATTGCCTCAGCCTCCTATAATTTTTGTTTGGTTATTGTGTGTTCTAATACTGTAATAGAAGAAGGCAATATTTTCCTTTTTTCCCCTCTAAACACAAATTGGCTTTATATATTTTATTAGGTCCCCTCAAGCTGAAAACGTTACAGGTTTTGGGCTATTTGCACAAATATATGAACAATGTCCTCTAAGAAGACCTAATCATGAAAGAATTATTGATAGAGAATTAGCGAAATCTCACTGTTGGGAAAACATATTACTTCATGGATCTACAATATCTTGCCTAAACCAGAGTTTAAAGCTGGACAGAACCTTCCCCATAGCTGCTAGGAACGCCACTGGCGCAGAGGAAGTGATATGGACCTGTTTCAGGCTCAAGATTCACCTCCACAGGACGGAGCCTACAAATGTTTCAGAAATACTCACAAGTGACCGGGAGTAGGAGAGGTCGCCCCAGAGTACAACCCCAGCACTGCCAAGTGCTGCACTTTCTCCAATTGTATTTATCAGGTCAGCCTGAATCAAACAAAAGGAAGAAGAGAAAATGTGAGGACCTGCCCCAGCTGTTCCTTCAGGAGAGCCAAACTCTTGGTTCCATTAGGTTGAATCAAAAGAACTTTTCCTGGGAGAAAGTGGTTGCAGTAAAGTCCGGTGGAATCTGAAAACCTCTGACAGAGCACAAGGCAATTTGTCCATTTCCCAAAATCACACACACCCCTGTTCTGGCCCCCCCTCCGTCCGGTAATGAACACAGACACAGGCTTAGCTGTTTGCCACTCTTTATTCACAGCAATTATAATCCTATTGGCTAAAAGCCCAGACACAACTCACTGGCAAGATGTTGGCAGCAGCCCAGACTCCAACCGACACGGGAACACGCAGACCAGACAAGGCGTTCTCCAGATTACAACGAATGGTTGTGTCCTGCAAAAGGTCTCCTCCCAAAGTCTCTTCTTATATACTCTCTTGGGAGGGGCCAAGCCACAATCACCTGGGCTTGATTATCTCTTATAACTCTGTCTCCGTAACTGCTGCCTCCATTTCTCCACACTTCTTTGTCAGGGGCAAACTCCCATTGATGTTCCCCACTGCTCCATACCTCAGGCGCCTCCTGGTGGCCAACCAGCCTCTCTGGTCCCTGCTCTGAGTCTGAACCCTGCCCAGAGCCCTCCACATCTTCCACAGCAGATTCATAAGGGTCCTCGCTATCTGAGTCCATCGGCAGCTCCAACGGTTCCTGCTGGGCCACAACACCCCCTGAGCAGTCCACCAGTAGTCAATGTGATGCTGCAAGGTTGTTTTGAGAATGCTGAGGTGCTAGGCAGATAACAGTTCACTCTCAGGGTATGAAGGCCTTGGAACCAGGCTGGAACTGGCTGGAAGGGAGTCTGCTTCCTCTCTGAAGACAATCCCACTCCCTAATTCCCAAGCAGTTACAGCAAAAGCAAAAGAAAATACCAGCAAGCCTTCATAACCCCTCCCGCCAGCGCCTTTTCAACAGAATGGTAGGATGTTATAGTGGATAGTGAGTAGCTCTGTATGAGATGTCTATGGAGATTCTCAGTCATCCAGGTCACGGTTGTCCCAAAGATGCCTTTTCAAGAGCAAACTAGTCTTTCTGTTTTTTCTTTGAAAACATTTCATTTCTTGGATGAAAAACAAAATGATTTCAAAGAAAAAAACAAAGACCAGTTTCCTCTTGAGAAAGCACCTCTGTATGAGAGGTCCACGTTATAATTTTAGTGATATGAAGTCTCTATTAAGATGGTTTCAATGGAGCGTAAAGATCTATTTTCAGAGACCTAGAGATATAGTTTTCCGTACAGCAGGGGTGGGTTCCTGCCAGTTCTAACCTCTTCTATTCTATTCTGTAGGTTCCACAAATCTACAGTGCTGTTTAGAACNGTAACAACTACAGCTGTACTAAGATTGAAAACTGGTTTCTCCATCAGCTGGGGGTGTTGAGAAGAGAAAATAATTAGGGCTGTTAAAGACGACAGCAAATGGATGGCTAGTTGGTTTTCTAGCTCAGGCATGGAGGAAAGCACTTTGAACTGTGAGGAAGAAATCTCTGGTCTCTTCCACATAATAGGGAGCAAGCAACTTTTGCCATTCCAAGCGTTATATTGGAAAAATTACTAGTAAAAGTAGTCCTCAACTTACAACAGTTCATTTTGTGACCAAAGTTACAACGGCACTGAAAAAAGTGACTTATGACCATTTTTCTTTGCAGCATTCCTGTGGCCACATGATCAAAATTCAGAAGCGTGGCAACTGTTTCAATTTTGGGCTCAAAATTTTGGACTCAATTGTAGGTTGAGAACCTTCCTCTTGTTTAAAATGAAATCAATATTCTTTAGACCAGAGTTTCTTAACCTTGGAAATTTTAAGACGCATGGATTTGAGCTCTCAGATTTTTCCAGCCTGGCTGGGAATTCTCGGAGGTGAAGCCCACACATTTAAAGTTGGCAAAGATGAGAAATACTGCTTTAGACCTAAGTGTTTCAGTAGATATCTGCCAATTTTAAGTAGCAGACACCTGCTATTCTGTATGTGCAATGTCACCTTGGCAGCTTTTAATATGAAAAAGATTTTTTTTCATTTCAAGGACTTTAAGTATCAAGAAACATTAACGTACAACATTCAATGAAGAAATAATACCATTTCCTATACATCCCTCAAAAAATTGCATGTGCATGATGCTTTAATAGTTCCTTTACAGCTGTATCAACATGGCTGCTTCGTGAACAAATTCTGACGGGGCCTTCCCTCTTCATTTTCAAAAAGCAATTTAAAGAATTTGGAATTGCAAGACAGGTGTTAATTCTAAATACTGTAATTGAAGTATCACATTTCATTACTTCATGTATTTAAATTATTTATATCCATAAACTGTCTGAATATATCGAACACTTGGCTGCAAAATATGCAATGATCTTGCAGGTGGATCCACCAGGGAGCCAATATTAAGCTATCACTTTCAATATGCATGCAGGAGAAGGTAGTTGCCAAGCAATGAAGGCAATAGCTCAGATGGAATATTATCCAATTAGACTAAAAGAAACTAAGAATCCAAGCATGAAGAGTTACATCTCCATTTAAAAAGTGTACAGATCAGCTTTCATAAAAATATATATAATTTATATATGTATTTGTATGTGTGTGTGTNCATATATCGCCCTGGTACTAGGAAGACTCAAAGGTCAATCATAATTAAAGGAGCCAAGCTAGCTGAAACAAAAGAGAGAGAGAGAGAGCTTAAGCCAATAGGAGAAAATGAAAATCCAGGCAATAGTTTATAGTTTAAGTAGGCCAGCTTCAGAGTGGAGGGTTGTGTTTAAAATGCATTGAGGTGCACCAGTCCCTAATATTTGTCTTTTTAAGTGATGCTTTTCATGCTTTATAGCTTCTATAAATAACTTAAGAATATTGATTATGAGAAGTGGCTTTCAAATCACAAAAGGGGTAAAATAGATTGGCTTTGGCATGTGGTTCCTAAGCAAATGCAGCAGGGGACAAAACAAAATTCTCCACAGCTGATTGAGCATGTTCAAGCAGGTGAAGGAACTCCTCAGGAGATAAATCCAAGGTCTAAAATTAAAATTTTAGACCTTAAAATTTTAAAGGTGGAAATAGCGAGAATGTTTAAGTGGGAACTGCCCAATAAAGACTGATGTTAACTAGGTGACCTAAAATTAAATCCTGATGAGTAAGACATGTTTGGATCAACACAGAATATGTTGGGAGGAATGACTCTATGGCAGTTATGCATCTTCCCAACCCAAGACGTGCAAGTTCCTGTCTGGGCAGCTTCCACTTGGTGGTTTGGATTGTTTGCTTTGTTAATATCTAGTTGAAGAAACTGCAGACCAACCTCTTTCTACAATTTTAAAAGCCTGGTTTGCATGGACTAGGCTTTTGACTTCTCCCACATTGAAAGAAACCAAGATAAGGTAAAATGCAATTTCCTCATTCTGCTCTCAAATAGATGTCCACTCCCATAAACTTCAGTCAGTAAAATTATGGGAACTGATCCCCTCCTTCACTTGGAAGGTACTATATTAGAGCAGGCTAGAACAGAGCATTTTTTTTCCAATCCAAACTTTCTGATTAAACTAAACTGGTTTCAAATAAAAACTACAAACTTCCCACGTAGTTGATGTCAATATCAAACTCTTTCCACACTTGTAACATGGCAGAAGCGGCAGGCTTGAAATCCAAACTTCGTTGCAGACCAAAAAAACGAATTCTCTGTACAATATTTGCTCACACTTCGGAGGTGTGCGTTAGTACCTTGATCATCATGGGAATACTCAGTCACCTCAACATTTTACAATATTTCCTGTTAGCAGTAAGGCAATAAGTCTTTTCTCCTAGCTGCTATTTCACAAGTTGTGCAATACAACCTCGAAGCCTGTAATACTATAATATTTGTTAATAATGTTCCTGCTCCTGTTTTATTGCTTTTGCGTGATCTGTATTTTCGTATGAGAAATATGCTAATGGAGATTATTTTAGTAAATTACAGTATACTCTCATTTAAAATCTATTCATGCTTCTGTGCTGAAAGTGAATAGAAAGAGAATAGCTTTTATTTTGGGGAAGGTAGAAATAGCTCAAGGAATGTACTTGAAGACCCAAAACAGAATAGAGTTGTGCTCTGAATAATAGGAAACTTGAAAATCCCTCTTTGATGTGCAATATTAATAGCTGAAATGAGAGGCATTGAATGTAATTTTGCTTAGGATAAATTATCTTTAGAACCAGCTTGATGAAGTGATTAAAAGCACCAGGCATGAAACTGGGAGACTGAGAATTCGGAAAGCAAGGACAAGCCCTTTCCAAAAATCTAGCCAATAAATCTTAGAGGTTTGTCCAAGAGTCAGGATAAATTCAAAGCCACCAAATATAAAACTTTATATTTTGAAAAGCACTAAATTGGAAATAGATTGGATTTAGTATTCAGTAATTAGGGCAATATTTTGTAGAAGCCTTAAAGAACACTCCTTTCAATCCCATATAGTGGCAATGTGAAAGACCCATCCTAATCCATCCAATGACTTTTGTCCCTTCTTCTCTCCCACTTCTAATAAATGAATGCAAGCAACACATTTGGAGTTGAATCTCCAAATTGAGCCCATTTAGGCTGCCATGACACTGGTGGGGCAGTTTAATATTTGAGCCACTGGCCCCCAGATATTTGTGCTGGGCCAACTAGGAATATAATTCTGGCCACTATAATCTTGTTTAGCAGATTTTCTTCTTCAGAAGGGCAATATGATTGGATCACACGCCTGTCACCAATTATGTTTTGCAAAATACCAGGGCAGTGATCTGGTGCCCAGGCAATTGGTTTGTTTGGAAACGCATAACATAAAAAGCATACCTACCAATAAGATAATACCCAAATTTCTTACAAGCTGCCAGGAGCTCCTTAATGACAACAGCAGAGATACCCCAAGGGCAGCATGTTTCCACAGTATCCAGTGCTAGGTTCCATGCAGAATCTCCCAAAAACAACAATAGTCCCAAGGTTTTCATCAAAACCTGGCACCATGACTTCATGGTTCTGCTATGAGGATAGGACTGCAAGACCTGGCCTTGATTGGCTGGCAAATGACTCTGGCGTGGGAATCGAAAGTCTGGGACTTTCACAGCGAGTAAAGCTTTGAAACTATGTGAAACTTTGCCATCCATCTTCTCCTTTATTCATTAAACAAGCAGGTCAGCTCTGAATGAGTTCTAAACTTCTAGAACTTTTCTTATTATGAAGAACAAATCAAAATATGTCACTAAACCCCTCAAAATAACAATGGCCTTCTGCATTACAACTACAGGCTGTCCTCAAAAAGGTCTAGTGGTTGAAGCACCAGGCTAAAAACCAGCAGATCAGGAGTTCTAGTCCTGCCTTAGGCATGAAATCCAGCTGGGTGGCTTTTGGGCAGTCATTGCCTCAATTTACTTCACAAGCATGTTGTGGGGAAAAATAGGAGGAAGAAGGGGTATTAGGTATGTTCTCTATCTTGAGTTATGTGTAAAAATAATAATAAGTAAAATCATTCAAAAGCTACTGTTGGTCCATGGTATGCCCAGGTAACCTCGCTGCAACATGATCCAGCAGGATGGGCATCTTCTGGTTCCTTTTCATGTACAGCATTGCTACTGATGAGGCACATCTTATGACCAGTGGCAGATGCCTTTTGAAGCAGCCTCCCCCTTGAGTTTGGGGGGACTCTATTGGCTTTTCACAAAATCTGAAGACCTATTTTTTCCTAGGTGCTGGGCCCAGGATGTCAGATTTGATAATATTTAATTATGTGCTGCCTTATGGTTTTTACATGGTGTTATTTAAGTATTAGTTTTGTTAGATGGCCAGAGTTATTTGGTTAAGATGGGTGGTCACATAATTCCCTTAAATAAACAATTTGATCTAATCTTAAGGAAATAGCTTTTGAGCTGTCAAACTCTATTCTGTTTTTTAAACTCAGGGGAAACAGCCATACAGTGAGATTACATAGCAAAAGCTTTGGCTTTATTTACCCAAGTTCTGAAGTGTGTGAAGGTACTCTTTAAAGAGTTTCATACTATAAAGAATTACAGTTTTGTGATCTTCTGGGAAACGACTGACCTAAAAAAAATTACTATAAGCTGAATTTTGACTACTTCTCCCCCACACACACACATCCCCATGTGACTTCTTTGAAGTAAACATACCAATCACTTTTTCCATTCCATTCTTTTGTATGCCAAAGAATCTTTGTGTTCCACTGACGGTGACAATTCAGAGTAACATTTGGCTTTTATATNCGCTGTGATGACGTCAAGTACGCAGTTTCGTCGAGCGCGCTTTAGTCGACCGCGGTTTTGTGGTGGAACTGTTTTTTTAGTTCTGTGTACACATTTTTGGAACACCAAAGGAAATTAAACTATCCGGTAACACTTTACATAACAGTAATGTTATGGAAAAATATTTTCTGTAAAAATTTCTCAATTCCTATTATGAATTCAATTTTTTCCATTATGCATAGTGTTACATATATGAGATTTTTTTTCAATGCAAACTGAACATTTTCCATAGAATTATTTTCTTTTTAAAAATTCCAATTCTAATTTTTCAGGAAAATCTACAACACTGAAAAGCACTAAAGTCAGAATAAAAATCTAACAAGAGCAAACTACTTTTACTTAATTACTCAGAGTAGCCTGTTCAGAAAAGATGCAATTTGTCTCTACAGCTCTTGTTAATTAGTAGCTTTTTTCTTTCTAATAAAACAACAATTCGCAAAATTGATGAATGGACCTTACTTACTGCAATTCCATTTTTAAACATAGTATTTTTACTCCAATTGATGACTCAAGGCTGAAATACTGTTTACTGAAAGGTCATGAAGCAGGAAGTTTCTCCCACATTTAATCTACTCCAAGGATAATTGGAAGAATTCAGTACAGGGCTGACAGTAGAGTGTGTGGATGGAGAAACGATATATGCCATTCAGAACTACTTTCAAAAAAAAGTGAGATAAATATAACAAAGGAAACATGTACAGGAAAGTGAATACAGCGCAAAAATGTTTTCCAGTCAAATAGCAGATGTAACTATTATTTGCAATCCCTGAATTATGTTTTTCTCTGAGCAACGCAGAGTGCTTACCTCAGTTAGATACTTTGAAGAACGCCTGTAGGAAACCCTGGAATATGGTAACACAGGAAGGAGATGCTCTGTGCCAAACTGTGCCACACGGAATGCCTCTCCAAGACGGTGATGTACATAATGCTGGCGGTACAAAGTTGGTACTTTCAGTGGAAGGTAGATACTGGGATAGAGGGCTGAGGAGATCTTCCACAACCACATGAGCTGATTATTCCACATGACCTCCTTCGGATTACATTGGCCAGTATAGTTCTCCACTTTCCCCCATTTGTCGTTGAAGCAATCAGGAAATCTGTAGAAGCCCCAAAAACCATGTGGCCTTAGCTTCTTTCCCAGAACTAGAGTAACCTCCATCAGCACCCGTGCGGCCTCTTCAAACTCTACCTTAGCTAAGTGAGTTTGCTCCTCAGGAGAGAGTCCACGAAATCTTTTCCTCACCCATTGTTTAGAGGCCTCCCTATAAACCATTTTCGGCACCCAGTTTCGTCTCCAGAGAGGTCGCCACTCCTCCCAGTCTACTACTGCCAGACCTTGGAAGTCATTGTTCAAGAGTTGTGTGATTTCCTTAGTGGCTTTCTCTAGATGTCTCTTCAGATTAACCTTCTGAGGGATCCCCCCATTATGCCAGTCCCCCTCTAGTGGAGAGATGTAGGGATACAGTCCAAACTTGTTTTTGTAAAAAATAGTCATATTTTGTCCCTGGAACGCATTGCCTTTGTTCTCCACAATGCCATAGACTTCCAGAGGTAATCTGATCCCAAAATCCTCTTGACATCTGCTTGTAGGTAAATTCCACACTACAACAAATGGTTTATGCTGGATGATGGGACTGGCAGCTGCCTGCTTCCAGCTACTCCCTACGAGGAGTCTAACAGATGCAGTACAGAAGGTGATGCAGATCCAGATAATTCTCTCCAGGATCATGGTGGATGGAATAAGCTGGTATCTGTTCTGGAACTCCTCAAGCTTTGTTCATAAATGCATCCCCTGGCAAAGAGAAAGGGAATGATGGGAGTGATCACTTCTAACTCAATAGCACATAATAAAAAGAAAATTAAAAAATAAATGTAATTAAGTCAAACCATTTAGCTATGGAGAACCTTGCAATTGTAGCAGTTAAAATGTCAGATTAAAAGAGGTTACCGAGGCAAGTATGGAATGGAAACCCGAGACTTTTTTACTAAGCATAAAACTGGAAAATATGAGTGAATCTATATGGCATTTGAGCCTACATATAATTGTGGCTGCAAGAATAACCTACGCGCAATTTTGGAA